ATCCAGCCTCTGTTTAAAAGCTTCCAAAGAAGGAGCCTCCACCCACGCTCTGGGGCAGAGAGTTCCACTGCTGAACGGCTCTCACAGTCAGGAAGTTCTTCCTCATGTTCAGATGGAATCTCCTCTCTTGTAGTTTGAAGCCATTGTTCCGTGTCCTAGTCTCCAAGGAAGCAGTAAACAAGCTTGCTCCCTCCTCCCTGTGGCTTCCTCTCACATATTTATACATGGCTATCATATCTCCTCTCAGCTCTTCTCTTCTTCAGGCTAAACATGCCCAGCTCCTTAAGCCGCTCCTCATAGGGCTTGTTCTCCAGACCCTTGATCATTTTAGTCGCCCTCCTCTGACACATTCCAGCTTGTCAATATCTCTCTTGAATTGTGGTGCCCAGAATTGGACACAATATTCCAGGATGTGGTCTAACCAAAGCAGAATAGAGGGGTAGCATTACTTCCTTAGATCTAGACACTATGCTCCTATTGATGCAGGCCAAAATCCCATTGGCTTTTTTTGCCGCCACACAGATTGGCCTGAGTTTGCTAGCACGGTAGCTAGTGAAGACTTAAAGCTATTAGGAGGATAGCTGGGTAGTAGCAAGATAGATCCAGGTTAGGGCTATCTGTGCTGCTGAAGGATTTCTGTCAGAGAAACTATCCTGTCAGGATTCTTGTTTTTGGAAGGAGAGATGGGAGTTTCTTTTTTTCTTTCTTTCTTTTTTGAATTATTTTTTTTAAATTTTGATATATGAAAAGCATATAAGTGTACATAATATTTCCAAGTAAAGAGGGGGAACAATTCAAGAAAAGTAGGAAATAATGAAAGGGGAGGGAGAGAAAAAAAGGTGAAAAAAAATAAGAATAAAAATAAAAATAGTTCGTGACTTCCTTCTAATTCTTCGCGGGTTTAACTTTGTAATCCATTTGATTTCCAGGTTATAGCAGATGTGAAGAGAGAAAAAGAATCAATTTTTAAAAAGTGTCCAAACCCGGGGTCTTACCACTCTTGTGTCCCCTTTTATTGTATTATTCATGGTTAATTTTCTTTATTTCTTTTTTCTGTGTATATCTCCACTTGTGACCAGTCTGTTTGTTTAATTGGGTTACCCGTGGTCCTCTTTATTAAAAAAGTTAATTTATCAATGTCTTTAATTTCATTTATTTTTGTTATCTGTTGGTCTCTTTCTGGTATTTCCCTCTGTTTCCATATTTTCGCATATACCAGTGTTTCTCAACCTGGTGGTCGGGACCCCTGAGGGGGTCGCGAAGGGGTGTCAGAGGGGTCGCCAAAGACCATCAGAAAACACAGCATTTTCTGTTGGTCATGGGGATTCCATGTGGGAAGTTTGAGCCAATTCTATCGTTGGTGGAGTTCAGAATGTTATTTGATTGTAGATGAACTATAAATCCCAGCAACTACAACTCCCAAAAGGCAAGGTCTATTTTCCCCAGTCTCCACCAGTGTTCACATTTGCGCATATTGAGTATTTGTGCCGAGTTTGGTCCAGATCCACCATTGCACAAGTCCACACTGCTCTCTGGATATAGGTGAACTACAACTCCCAAGGTCAAGGTCAATACCCACCAAACCTTTCCAGTGTTTTCCGTTGGGCATGGGAGTTCTGTGTGGCAAATTAGGTTCCAACCCATCACTGGTGGAGTTCAGAACGCTCTTTGATTATAGGTGAACTATAAATCCGAGCAACTACAACTCCCAAATGACAAAATCAATCCTCTCCCAACCCCACTAGCATTTACAAGTGGTTCCATAGGGTATTTGTGCCCAGTTTGGTCCAGTGAATGAAAATACATCTTGCATATCTGATATTTACATTATGATATATAACAGTAGTAAAATGGCTGTTATGAAGTAGCCACAAAAACAATGTTATGGTTGGGGGTCACCACAACATAAGTGACTATATTAAGGGGTCACGGCATTAGCAAGGTTGAGAACCACTGACATATACTATCCTAGCGGCTGTCGTTAAATACATAAACAGAATGTCTTCATTCAAGTCTAGTTTAATGTCCCCATCAGTAATTCCTAATAGGAAATACTCAGGTTTTTTTGGAATTTTTTTTGAGAAGATTTGTTGGCAGCCTTCATGAATTAATTTCCAGTATTTCTGAGCTTCCCTACAAGTCCACCAAAGGTGACAGAAGCCTCCTTAATGTTCATTATATTTCCAACAGTTTTTGGAGGTATTTTTGCACATTTTATTTAACTTTTTTTGGTGTAATGTACCACCGGTGGAACATTTTTAAATAGTTTTACTTTAAATCGGATGCGTATGTATAGTTTAATTTTTTGTTCCACATTAGTTCCTGTGGTGATGTGTACATTTTTAACTTGCAGTTATGTGTAATTATAGATGTTATGTATAATTATAGACAGATGTTTAAAGGGTTAGTAATGGTAATGGTAAGTATATAGTATTGCATAACCAAGGAAGATAGCAGCCAGCTCAGCTTGTGTTGAGCTGGGTGACCATGGAAACAGGGGCGGAGCCAACTGCCACTTGGCAGGGCAGCCATTTTAAACCTTTAGTCTGTAGTCGGAGAGCTACAGAAGAAAAGTGATACTCTAGGACAGGGGTCCACAAATGTTTTAAACTGAGGGTCAGGTCACAGTCCCTCAAACTGTTGGAGGGCCAATTATAATTTGAAAAAAAATATGAATGAATTCCTATGCACACTGCACATATTTTATTTGTAGTGCAAAAAAATACTTAAATGCAATACAATAATTAAAATGAAGAACAATTTTAACAAATATAAACTTATTTGTATTTCAATGGGAAGTGTGGACTTGCTTTTGGCTGATGAGATGGGATTGTTGTTGTTGTTGTTGTTGTGTGCTTTCAAGTCGTTTCAGACTTAGGTTGACCCTGATCAAGGGCCGGGTAAATGACCTTGGAGGGCCGTATCCGGCCCTCAGGCCTTAGTTTGAGGATCCCTGCTCTAGGAGGAGTATCAGGGAAATAGTCTACAGACTGTGAACTGTAGGAGAGGCTGTTCTGTTGGGTAGAGAGAACCAGAATGGATCTGTAGTTTAAAAACTACAGGGAAAAGACTGATTCTACTTAGTAAGAATCAGGGAGGTTTGGGCTTTTAGCCTGAGTAGTTTAAATAAGTCGAGTGGGCTTATTTATATTAATAGTTAGTGTTGAGAGAAAGGGTGAGAGAAACCCAATGAGAGTCCCTATTGTAACAGAAACATCATAAAGATTAAGCTCTTAACTGAAGTAATCTATTAAAGAAAGAAACCCAGTTTGAAGAAAAATAAGTGAAATCTGTTTAGTGGAAGGAAGAGTCCTTTCCAGAGTTGTTTAAGCAAAGTTATAAATGTAACCTCTGAAGATCTGTACCTCTAAGAGAAGAGAAACATTGAATCCATCACGTTTCCTTTACATTTCAATACACTTGTTACTGTTCTTTTCCTAGAGCCTTGCCTCTGATACATTTTTTCCAAGTTAACTGAAGAAAGACCAAATCAATATTATTAGCCATAAGCTATGCTATCAAGTTAATAAACCTTCACAAAGTGGTGGCTCCTTTACAAACGGTTACAAATTGGTAGCAGTAATCATACGCTTCCTCACAGTTCCCAATCTGCCAGTGATATCGACCTTCTAAAATTTTCTGACTACTTTAACATGCAATTTTTTACCACTTCCCCTTCTGTCTCTTCTTAAGTAACAAAGTCAGACCTGTTTTTCATCCATTACGCTTTCAAGACAAATTTCTGAAACAGCCAAGATAGTCCCTGCATTGTTCCTGTTCTTATTAATAAACTTTATTGTTGATTGAACATCACAATCTGACTCAAGTGTACCTCTGTGCTTAAAAGTTAAAAATCAGCTTTAAGCAGTAATCAAAAGCTAAATAGTGGCAGCGTATGTTTTTAAAGAAATAACTTTAAGGGATACCTCAGTAACACAAGCCTCTTTCACAAGTTACCTCAAAGAAGCCAAGGGCTTATCAGCACTGTTAAGTGGTTGTGTGCCAGAGTGCTTTCAGAAAAGGGTTTATTTCAGCTGGGAAGAAAGTTTTCCAGCTTTCTATCAAATCAGACTTTTGAGTTTTGGGGCTGGTAAAAGCAGAAGCTACATTCAAATCTAAGTGGTGTTCTGGTGTGTGTTTTGGGGATTATTTTTATATTTCCTCAAAAATTTAAAATTCCCTCTCTATTATAATTGGTGGAACAGCGTTGGGATTTTTATTATCAAATAAATATTTCCCAAATAAGTTCCCTACTTGCTATAGTATCCAACTCCGTTGTGCATTGTATCCAACTCCATTGATGGCAACTATTAATCAGAGGTGTAATGGTAGTATTACCAACTACTATTCCTCCTCCTTGTAAGCCAGTGAGCAAAGGTATGTCTCCAGCTGTTTTTTTGAAAGCGGGGAGGGAGGGGGCCATCTTTAACTCCTTAGCAAGGGAGTTCCAGAAGTGGGGGGCAGCCATGGAGAAGGCCCTTTTCTCTCAGTCCCACTTGCCGTGCTTGGGATGGGAGTGGAACTGAGAGGAGGACCTCCTCCGATGATTGCAGTGTCCAAGTTGGTCTGTAGAGGGAGATGTGATTGTCAAATAGTCTGGACTCCGTGCTGACAGAAAGGGATGGGGGGAAGGGGATGCAAACTGAACAAACTGATGCAAATTGAACAAATAAATAAACAAAAAAATAATCAACTTAGGGTGCATCAACTTTATCGCACAAATGGAGTGTGACACTATTTTTATTGAAAAGGAGTTGTGGGAGTTGTAGTTACTTTCCCAAGGTCTTTAGTTTTCTACAGCTCCCAGAATCCCCTTTAATTGAGCCATGGCAATCAAAGTGGCATCAAACTGCATTAATTTGACAGTGCAGATGCACCTTGGGTCTCCTTCCAGGTTCCTTTGTCTTGACCTTCAAGCCAAAGACAAATATCATTGCCGCTTCCATTCAAACCACCTTCAAGACATAACTATAACCTTAATGGAGATGGCCTTTGCTCACCTGTCACAACATTGCATCCCGTCATCTGAACACCAGCATTCTTTGCAGTGTGCTGTATTCCAGTGGGATCCAATTGGATGCTTTTTGCCATCATAAAGGTCAGTGCAAACATTTGGTTTTTCTAGCAATAGATAAAGAAAGAGGGGAGGAGGATGAGAACAAACTCCAGATTATTTCCTGGGTGCGTCCTGAATTGGCCATGAACACTTTATTGCCAGGGGAGAAAAGGGTTGCTTTGTTTATTCTTGCCTATAATATTGAAATGGGCAAAGATTACCCTTACCGATCTTGGAGTCCTTGACAGTGGGCCACTTCCTTTTTTGGCTGCATCTAAACCAGCGTTTCTCGACCTGGGGGTCAGGACCCCTGCAGGGGGGGGGGTGTCACAAGGGAGTTTCAGTGGGGTTGTGAAAGACCATCAGAAAACATATATTTCTGATGGTCTTAGGAACCCCTTTGGCAGAGAAGGCGGAAGATCTCTCCTGCTGTCCTTCTCTTCCTTTTTGGAGACAGAAAGTGAATCCTTCCACCAAAAGCCCTCCTCTGCTGTGATTGGCTATTTCTGAGACTCCAAGTTTATTTACATTGCATAAATTAGTATAAAACTGATAAAAATAGAAGAAGCGCACACGGCTAAATATTTTTGACCAAAAACGGACAACAGCAATGGCATTGTCTGTAGCCTCCAAGTGGGGAGGGGAGAGCAAGCGTGCTCAGTGCATGGCAGTGTGGAGCAGATGTGCAGCCAAGGGAGAGCATATGAGGCTGGAGGGAGGCTCACGGTCAGCGAGTCCCTTCAAGGCATGGGAGTTCTGTGAGGGAAGTTTGGCCCACTTCTGTCATTGATGGGGTTAAGAATGCTCTTTGACTGTGGGTGAACTATAAATCCCGGCAACTACAACTCCCAAATGTCAAGGTCTATTTTCCCCAAACTCCACCAATGTTCACGTTTGGGCATATTGAGTATTTGTGCCAGGTTTGGTCCAGCTCCATCATTGTTTGAGTCCACAGTGCCCTTTGGATGAAGATGAACTACAACTCCAAAACTCATGGTCAATGCTCACCAAATCCTTCCAGTATTTTCTGTTGGTCATGGGAGTTCTGTGTGCCAAGTTTGGTTCAAGTCCGTCATTGGTGGAGTTCAGATTGCTCTTAGATTGTAAGTGAACTATAAATCCCATGAACTGCAACCCTCAAATGACAAAATCACACACCCCTCCCAACCCGACCAATTTTCTAATGTGTGCGTATTGGGTATTTGTGCCATATTTGAAGCAGTGAATGAAAATACACCCTGCATATCAGATATTTACATTACGATTCATAACAGTAGCAAATTATGAAGTAGCAACAAGAATAATTTTATTGTTGGGGGGGGGGGCGGTCACCACAACAGGAGGAACTGTATTTGGGGGTATGCATTAAGGAAGAGAAGGACAGGCTGAGAGATCTTCCGCCTTATGTGATGGTCTTTAATGACTCCTCTGAAACCCCCTTGCGACCCTCCCCCCCCCCCAGTGGTCCTGACCCCCAGGTTGAGAAACGCTAATCTAGAAGAACATCCCGTATAGACTACTGCAATGCACTCTACGTGGGGTTGCCTTCGAAGACTGTTAGGAAACTGCAAATGGTCCAACGGGTGGCAACCAGGTTGTTAACAGGAGCGGTGCTTAGGGAGCACACAACTCCTCTGCTGCGCCAGCTCCACTGGCTGCCAGTTTGCTTCCGGGCACAATTCAAAGTTCTGGCTTTAGCCTATAAAGCCCTAAACGGTTTCAGTCCAATTTACCTATCCGAACGTATCGCCCCTTATAAACCATCTAGGATGTTAAGATCTTCTGGGGAGGCCCTGCCCTCGGTCCTGCCTTCCTCGCAGATGCATTTGGCAGGGACGAGAGACAGGGCCTTCTCAGTGGTGCCCCTCGACTGTGGAATGCCCTGCCTAGGGATATAAGATCGGCCCCCTCCCTTCTCACTTTTCAAAGAAAGGTGAAAACCTGGCTTTTTGAGCAGGCCTTCCCAAATATGGCATAGTTATACGAAATTATGGAAGCACTTGATGACACAATTGAATAATGACTTGTCATGGAGACGCTCACGATAATGCTTTTAAGGCTTTGTGCGGTTTTATATTCTTATATTGTACTAGCTGTACCCGGCCACGCGTGGCCCTCAGAAGACAGGATTTGCAGACACGAAGCAATCTAGGCTAGGGAACTCCTCCCACCAAAGGCTTCCTGCTGGCTAGTAGAAACCAGGCTATTAAGGTGCAAGGTGGTAAAGTAATGAGAAGCAGCCACTAAAGCTGCAAGGCTTTTCAGTTATATTCATGCTGGCCAAAACACTAAAAAAAGTCACTGGGTGGCCATCTCTTGGGGGTGCTTTGAATGTGATTTTCCTGCTTCTTCACAGAATTGGGTTAGCTTGGATGGCCCACCAGGTGGCTCCCAAATCTTGGGCTCTCTGATTCGATATTCTTCTCTTCCCGTCACCAGTTTCCCCTTTCTTTCTTTCTTTCTTTCTTTCTTTCTTTCTTTCTTTCTTTCTTTCTTTCTTTCTTTCTTTCTTTGTTCCTTCCCTGCCTCTTCCCTTCCTTTCCTCTCCCATCTCTGCCTCCTTTCCTTTCCTTCCTCTTTCTTTCCTTCTACCTTTCCTTCCATTCATAATCTTCTCTTCTCTTCACCAATCCCTTTCTTCCTTTCTTCTCTCCTTTCCCTTTCTTTTCCCTCCTTCCTCTAGGACAGTTTGTAAGGGTTTTTTAAAGGGTTTTTTTGGGGGGGTGAAAGGGGGGATGTGGATCCCAAGTGGGAGAGTTGCTGGCCTTCTCATGGTTTGCATCCTCCCTTCATGCCACGGGGGGGGGGGGGGGGAGCGCTCCTGCAGTCAGGCTTGCCTTGCAATCCTCTGGTCTTGGGGGAAGAGTTGCCTGGTAGCCACGTGGGCCTCATGGAGCCGCTGTGGTGGCTCCAGCTGCTGCCGGGGCTTGCCTCACCAAACTCCCACCTCTCCATTGGGCAAGGCCTTCTCCTTCCTTCCCTATTTCCTTTGCTCAATCCCTCCCCTCCCCAAAAGAAAAAAGGACTCTGCCTTCCTGCATGGAAAGGGACTCCATGGTGAAACTTCTCTTCCCTCACAACAGTTGGTGCTTCATTCTTCTCGCGCAATGGGGAGAGGGGCTTTTGCGCATGCTCTGTAAGGCATTTTTCTTTTTGGGGACTTTTAAGTTATTTCCCCTTCATTTTTTACGGGTTTTTTTTGTTTGAAAGACATAGATCGGATTAGAATGTGTTTTGCTGCCAAATTTGGTGTCAATTCGTCATTCCCACAAATGAACGTTACATTTTATTTATATAGATGCTAATGTTTTTAACAGTATTTTATGATTGTTTTACTTGTTATAATTGTTAAGGCATCAAATTGCTGCCAATTGTGACCGCTCTGAGTCACCTCTGGGCTGAGAGGGGTGGTATATAAATGTGGCAAATAAATAAATAAATAAACAATTCCCAATTTCACCCAAACTTGTGAATAATCAAATCTGCAAAGGTTCAGTTTATCAAAGTCCAGGCTTAACTCTATATGGCAGAAATCATGATGCATTAAACCAGTTCTGGGGAATCATTCCCCCCTCCCAAAGCATTTCCCAAGTACATTTTTATTTTTGCTGGTAATTAAATGGAAACATCACCTTTTTTCCCTTTTGTTTTAAAGGGTTCAAGGAAGCAAGCCGCGTAGCATAAGGCCAAGGAGAATGAAAGGACCACAAGGATTAGGAGTAATTTCTGGAAGAGAAGCAAAGGATGGGTTAGGTTTGTTCCAGTCCTAGAGATTTAAACACTAAGGCTGGATCTACACTCCCATATAATCCAGTTTCAGAATTCAGATTATCATGAGTGTAAACTCATATAATCCAGTTCAATGCAGATCATCTGCATTCTGAAACTGAATGATATAGTAGCATGGATCCAGTCTACGCCACATTCAAACTGGAAAGGTTATTCATTAGCAGAATATATTCCAAAGGTCCCATCTATACCGCAAGTATAATGCAGATACAATTTGGTTAAACTGTATTATTTAAGGCCCCATATATACTGCCATATCATCCAGTTTTCCTTATAATTCAGGACTTTGTTACTCCATTCACAGAGGGGGTGGGGTCAAATTCAATTCAATTTGTAACTACGTATATTCTGATGACAAACTATGCTTCTCATATACTAGGAGGGTCAAAACGTTTTGCCTTCTGTCATAAAAATGTTATTAATGAACTTATCACAGCAGTCGTTGCTACAGATCACAGCCTGAACTGTCCTCTACACAAAACTACTGTTCGAGTCACAATCAATTTGTACACATTTGTGCCATTGTTTAACTCAACCGCCTTGAGTCGCCGTTGGTCTGAGAAAGGCAGTATAGAAATACGGAAAATTAATTAATTAATTAACCAAGACATCCAAACCATTTTGAAAAAATTCAGGGTTTTGCTTTGTGGCTCATGATTTTAAAGCTGTTTGAACGTCATTCAAGTCATTGAATCTGAAACCACACAGGCTGCCTTTCAGGGGTCCAAACAGATCAAAATCAGAAGGGGACAAATCATAAATATTCTTCAAGCAATTATGGATTTCCTTCTTTGGCCAAAAATTGATTGACAACTCTTTCTTTTAGCTTCACATTAATGTTCTAAACAGTCAAATGGAACAAGAAAAGACTATATCAGTAGACTAAGGTGTCCTCTATCAGTTTCTCAACCTGGGAGTCGGGGCCTCTGAGGGGGTCGCTAAAGACCATCAGAAAACATACATTTCTGATGGTCTTAGGAACCCCTTTGGCAGGGAAGGCTGAAGATCTCTCTGCCTGTCCTTTTCTTCCTTTGGGGAAATAGACCGCAAATCCTTCCACTAAAAGCCTTCCTCCACTGTGATTGGCCAGCTTTTCAGCCAAGGGGAGGGCTGTTTCTGAGACTCCAAGCAGGGAGGAGAGAGCAGACATGCTTGGTGCATGGCAGCATGGTGCGCATGTGTGGTAGAGGGAGAGCGTGTGAGCCTGGAGCGAGGTTTGCACCAGCGAGTCCCTTCAAGACATTCCATCATTGCTGGGGTTCAGAATGCTCTTTGA